TATTTATATATATAAACATATTATATATTTTACATACTATATACACATGTATTATATTACACATATAATATATAAATATAAATTAGTGATTAGCGGGTAGGATAATTAATATTCATATGGGTTATTCCTATAATAATTATTCCTATAATAATATTTATAATACATTATCAGCATGTGCGATTCTGTGTCCATGCTACATTTTGAAAGGTAAAAAAAGTAGGTATATCAATATTTCAATACGATTATATTACTAACACTGTAATACATAAATTTATATCATTTGTCATTTTTTACAAGAATTACCCGCTATAACCATGAACGTATAAATGCACTTGAAATTTATGGGTCTTGATAGAAAAAATAAATAAAGACAATAATGCCTTCAGTCAAAGCTAAATTAAGGCAATGATATTCTTCCAACATCATATTGATGAATGATTGAAATTGACATATCTTATGGTTAAGAATCATCTTGACTTGTGGAATAAAATAGATAGACGATCACTTGAAGTTGATCGTGCTATCAAAATTCGCTGCAAATGACAAAATTTGAGGTTGCAAAACTTCAAAATAGTCCCTGAATATAAGCATACTTACTTGAGCATCCAGAAGATAGTGAATGATTACTATAGGAGTGACTTGATGGAGAAATTTTTTTCCACAAATATGCTATCGAAAACAGATTTTTTTTTAGCACGCTGAAAATTCCAAATGAGTATTTACTTACTGCTTTATTACTTTTTGTACCTTTTTTTTTTAATTTGTTCATTTTATATTTCATAATCAATAGTAATATATTTTATTTTCTTTCGTCTTATCAAAGAAAGGATATGAATGTCATTAATCATAAGACAAATAATAAAAAAGGATAATATTTTTCTTATTTATAGTGCGACTAAGAACACAATATTGAAATATAAAAAATATTTTTCTCACCTGAAATTGGGAAAAGCAAAAGTCAACATCGTAAGTGGCAGTACAACATTAATTGAAGGCTCCGAGAGAGCTCTTATCTATTTCTCTGAATGAATCATATTTGAAATACAAAATGCATTGTTCTCGAATAAAACTTGAATAAGTTTGTTAAGTTTCACTGATATTCGTAGAAACAGAGATCACATTAAAACAATGAACAAGACAATTGATAAATATTTAGTGATTATGAAAATCATCAATGAAAATAAGTGTGGAATCGCAAAATTGCCCTAATTGTCCTTCGGCTTGTATTATGCCAAAATAAGTGCCATTGAAACATGTCCAATAGACCTGAAGTCTACGGAAGAAATTTTGATTTGACATGATCGCCTTGGACATCCTGAAAATACTATAAGACGGATAGTTGAAAACTCTATTGGTCATTCATTGAAAGATTGAAATATATTGAATTCGAATGAATTCATATGTGTTGCATGCTCACAAGGCAAATTGATAATCAGGCCATCACCAACCAAAGTTGGGACTGAATTCTTATCATTTCTAAAACGAATCCAGGGTAATATATGTGGACCTGTAGATCTACTATGCGAGCCATTTAAATATTTAATGGTGCTTATTGATATATCGACGAGATGGTCCTCACGTATGCTTGCTATCTACGCATAATATAGCGTTTGCAAGGTTACTTGCACATATAATTAAATTGCCAGCACAATTTCCTGATTATCCAATAAAGAAAATTCGCCGCGATAATGCTAGTAAATACTCATCACAACCATTTGACTATTATTGCATGACTTTGAGAATAATTGTTGAACATTCTATTCCTTATGTTAATACCCAAAATAGTATGACAGAATCCTTTATCAAAAGACGAAATTTAATTTTCAGACCATTATTGATGAAAACCAAACTCCCAATTTCTACTTTAGGACATACAATATTACATGCAGCAACACTTGTATGAATCAGACCGACAAGCTATCAGAAATACTCCCCAACACAATTAGTGTTTGGAGAAGAGCCTAATATTTCTCATATGAGAATTTTTGGATGCGCAGTTTACGTGCCCGATTGCACCACCTCAATTTACAAAAATAGGCCTCTAACGTTATTTGGGAATTTAGTCGACTATGAATCACTATCAATAATTAAATACCTCAAACCACTGACGGGTGATCTATTTACTACGTGATTTGTAGAATATCATTTTGACGAAACAAATTTCTCAACATTAGGGGAGAACAAAATCAATTGAAAAATGAAGTTTCTTGAAAAATATCTATGAATTTCTTGGATCCTCATTCACGATAGTGTGAATTAGAAGTACAAAGAATTGTACATTTGCAACAAATTTCAAATCAATTACTAGATGATTTAATGATTTCAATAGAGTTATCAGGTTGTATATTCCTACAGCAAGTGCACCGGCAAAAATGAATGTGCCAGAATGACAAATAAAAAGTGTCAATGAATCTTATGCGTCTGAAGCGTGGCAGACCTGCGGGTTTCAATAATAAAAATTTCCAAAAGAAAAGGATATTGATTAATATTCAATCCTTCAAATAATTTGTAGCAACAATGAACAAATCCTTAAAGATGATGTTTCTGAAGAGCCTATCCTAAAAGAAAATAAAATTATTGAAAATTTACTAATTTCACCACTACAAAGAAAAGTTCAAACTTAAATGAAACAATCATTGATAATGCTTTTGCATAAAACGTGACACTTGATATAATGGTAAATGACGAGGATCCCAAACCAACATCAGTTGATGAATGTCGGAAGAGAACGATTGGCCAAAATAGAAAGATGCGATCCAGTCTGAATTAGACTCGCTGGCTAAAAAAAATGTCTTTGGACCCATAATTTAAACACGGAAGGTATTAAACCAATTTGGTGCAAATGGATATTTGTGAGAAAAATAAATGAAGACAATGAAATTGTATGATACAAAACGAGACTTGTAGCCCAAAAATTCTCACAAAAACCTGGGATGGTATCACATTTAGATACCTCGGAAGTCTAGCAGTGCATGAAAAACTTGATATGCGTCTGATGGACATAGTTACTGCGTACTTGTATAACTCACTGGAGAATAATATTTATATGAAAATTCCCGAAGGATATGACATGCCTGAAGCATGCAAATTAAATCCCAAAGAACATTATTCCATTAAAGTGTGGAAGTCTTTGTATGAACTTAAACAGTCCGGACCAATGTGGTATAACCACCCCATTGAGTGCATATCTAAAGATTACACAATTGACCCAATTTGTCCATGTGTATTCATAAAAAAAAAAGGTCAAAATTTATGATCATTGCAGTATATGTTGGTGATCTCAATATTATTTAGACCCCTGAAGAGCTCAAATCAGCTGTGGAATATTTGAAAAACGAATTTGAGATCAAAGACTTGTGGAAAGACAAAGTCTGTCTTGGTCTACAAATGGAAGACATGGATAACAAAATATTCATCCACCAGACTGCTTCTACCAAGAAGGTATTAAAGCGATTTTATATACATAAAACACATTCATTTAGTACCCCAATAATTGTCAGATCACTTGATCATAACAAAGATTCATTTATATCAAAAGAAGGTAGTGAAGAAATATTTGGTTTTGAAATACCATATTTAAGTGCAATAGGTGCACTTATGTACCTATCAAATAGCATAAGGCCGCATTTGCAGTAAATCTATTGGCTGCATTGAAATGGTGTTAACCATGTTTTGAGCTATCTCCAATGGATGAATGATCTCTGCCTATTTTATCCGAATAATTTTTTATACCAACTATTAGGCTATGTTGGGTATTTGTCTGACCCACACAAAGCAAAATTGCAAACAGCTATATATTTACATGTTGTGATACTGTGATCTCTTGGAAATCCACCAAACATACACTAATCGCCACATCATCAAATCATGCCGAAGTGCTGACTATTCATGAAGTCAATCGAGAATGTGTTTGGTTGAAGTCAATGACCCATCGTATTTGAAAGAATTGTGGGTTAATGTCTGAAAATAAAAATCTCATAACAATTATATATGAAAACAATGGTGCTTGCATTGCTCAATTAAAGAGTGAATATATATATATAATGAGATAAGATAAAATATATTTCACCAAAAATACTTTTTTACTCATAACATGCAAAAGAACGGTGAAATCGATGTACAACAAATCTGATCATCTAACAATTTTGCAGATTTATTAACCAAGGTTCTACCGACAACAACATTCAACAAATTGGTAAAAGAAATTGGAATGTGTCAGCTTAAAGATCTCAAGTGAAGTCCATATCAGAGGGAGTAAATCAATACAAGAACAGTGTACTACTTTTCTTCGCTAAGATTTTTTTTTCCGTATGATTTTTTCCTAATAAGATTTTAGCGAGACACATTCTTTGTATAAAAAACATCCAACGGGGAATATTATACAACATACATACGTAAATTATACAAATCTATTATTTAGTAGACTATATGGATACTATGTGCTTAAATCTCATTTCTCTAATAAATGGCGTAATACTATCTAGTGAGTTAGGCGGTGTAATCTTCGTGTTGATTGTTATCATAAATGAAATACACAGTCCTCGCTTTACTTTATCTCTCTCAAATATTTGTCTAGAGAACATACTTGTATGCATATATATATATATATATATATGTATCCATACTCGTTGCACTACATCTAAACATATTATATATAATATATAAATATAAATTAATGATTAACTGTATGAATAATTAATATTTATATTAGTTATTCCTATAATAATATTTACAACAAATTATGTTTAATGCTAACTATTGCTCTCAGTGTCTCAAATCAAATGGGTCATTTGGATTTCTATAGTAGAATAAAAATAATAATATTTCATTAGTTAGTGAAAGTGTGTAATAGTTTTCGATATATTTGTCATTTGATTTTATGTATAAAGTAATTATATGTGTAATGATATGTTTGTAATTTAAGTAAAAGTTAAGAGTATTTTAGTATCAATGTTTGTTATTTTTTTAAAAATAAAAAAGAGATACTCTGAAATGAAACAGACAACAAACAAACTACCCCAAAATTCAACTAGTGAAAATTAGGAAAGGAAAGCAACACTTGTTGTTTAGTGTGTGTGAGCTGGTACCAAGCTAAGAATTCAATTCAATTCAATTGACAAAAATTGAAATCAAGCTTCCTACTCTTGTTCGTGAATTCTAAATCGGATGCTCGACAACTTCAGAGGCCGCGGCCGGCAACTTCCTCTGACAAACAACGACGGACAGTGATGCCTCTGGCGATATCTATCAACTTGTGGCTTATATACCCACAAAATAACCTTTCTGAGTCTAGGAGACTTTGCCATGTCCATTGATAGGAATTGATTTCACTTTCTTTCTAACAGGCTCCCCTTCTGTGTCATCTTTCCAAATTATTTGAGATGATTTCGCTAGAGAAAGAGCACTTCAGCTGTGAAGGGCTGTTTGTTTTCAAGGGTGTCGATTTTTTCAACCTGGAGATAAAGGCCGTTGCATGATGAAAATTTTCCAAGGGGGAGGAGAAAAAGGGTCGAGTCAAAAGATGAAGCCATTTAAATTTGAGTAATTATTTACGCTCTTAGCAGATGGTAAACAACTTTTTATTATATATTTTCAATGAATTTTTATTTAACAATGTGCTGAAAATGACAATGCATAAATAAATAACATAAAATATATTAACATAATACAAATACAATATACGACGTTTAACACATGGAAATAATCTACATAGCACATATTCCTATTGATTTAACACTACATATATATTGGAAGATTAGAGCACACTTGTTGTTTTGATAAGTCTTGTAAATGTGAAATTCGTTGTTTGGTTCGACAGCAAATCCACAGGGAAATATCTTGGCGAATGCGGTATGGGACGAGGTGTATGATTCTTCATCAGGGTTGTATAGCCTTAAAACAATGCGCTGACCATCCATTTTTTATCTACTGATTAGGATAATCAGCACCCTCTAGTTATTCCCAAAGAGTTTATATCAGTTATGACAAACTATTTCACTTCTAATTAACTTCCAAGAATAATGACTTATAGAACATAGGGCAAATATTTATATATGCAATCAATATGATTAAAAAGAACATTACATGAAGAAAACATCTTTAACTTACAGTCTTAGAGATTCTCAGCAGATGAAGATTTGAAATTTAGGCCCTTCCCCTCCCTTGTTGAGATAGTTGACGTCGAACACTAGCTCGCCGAGATCCTCTAGTAAACGAAATAATTTCAATTATAATATATAATTATGCTTGTATAGAAATGTGAATGATTCTTGGGCCGAATCAGACCTTCGTAAAGTGTCCGTGCGTATTTAACATAATCGGGTATGAGATCTCGGTAAATGATGCCTTCAGGATGTGCATCTAGCACAACCAGAACTCCTGCAGACAAAAATGCCAAAACCATGATCATAATCAAATATCTTGCCGAGAACCAGTGATAAATATAGGCCTACATTGCTGAGAAAATATAACAGAATTCAAATTTCAAGGAGGAAATCTAATTTCTTGTGCTAACAATTATCTTCGATCTACACAATGATTCTATTATTTAGTTATGTTCTGCGTTACTTGCAAAAAATTGTGTTGCTACTTTAAGTACATGCTCGATCATTGGATGGGGAGAAAGAGTAAGTAAGCACCAATAGTCTATACAAACCAAACACTATGGTTAAATATAACATAATCACTAATGAAGTCACCAATTGTGTAGAAGTGACATAGATACCTGGTGCCAGCCATGTATCTGTAGAGTTACTCGGCAATGGGGCAAGCCACAAAATATTACGTAAATTCATCGAATCATCATAAGCAACATTTGAACCTGAGAATTATATAGTTAGAAGATTGCACAACAAAGGCAATATATAGTTCAAAGTACTCAAAACTAACTCATTTACGCAAAAGAGGCTGGACGAGATAAAGGGTAAAGGCACTTTCTCGAAACAGTTTTTATTAAAAAAAAGGGTCTAACAACAGAAATGGTGATCTGTCAAAACACCATACTCCAAATCTATATCTCCGCTTCCAACTCACCTACTTGGCAATAGCCCATGTTAAAGGGAAAACATTTTTTGTCATAGGCAGGATACTCTTTAGCATGAAACCTGCAAATGTGGAAATCATAAACTAGCGAATAAGCATAACATTGAAGCAAAATAGTAGATAAGAAACAATGGGACGAATTACCATAGGCTTCTTTTTATCTATCCATTGTTATATTTTTATTTTTACAACCATGTAATGTAACTTTTAGAACTATTATTTTATTACACCCATTGCTTTTTTGCTTAAAAAAATATATATATTAATTTATACAACCTCTTGCAGAATTCCTTTTAAAATTTCTCCGTAGCATCCACACAACTCAATTATAAATGTCATCATGTTCTCATAAATGAGATATAAAAGAGTTAACATTTCAAAGTAGTTATCTGCCTAAGAATGCCATCAATTCAACGAAGTTTACATATACACTTTTAAAACTTTGACACTGCTTATTACCGGTAACTTTTTCAAAGGTCATCCCATCAAATATCTTTTTCCTATCGCAAAACATCAAATCAAATACTCAACCTTTTACTATTTCCAAATTTTTCCAAAACTCTACAACTTCCAAAACTTCTATCTAATCGAAGCCTAAGATATAGATCTACACTGCTATCCAATGAATTCTTGGAATTTTATTCTCTAACCATGTAACACAATTTCCACAGCCTTCAAAACCCAATAAAAACAACAAGGTGGAACTTGTTGTCTCATGGCATTCTACTTACAGAATACCAAGCCTTCCAGACATCTTCTCGATGAACAGGTGGCCGTGGAACAGATCAAAGCGACTCAAAGAAACATTTAGACCTACACTGGGACCGCGCTCGACAATAATTTCAAACAAGAGCTCTAGATAAGAATTCAACCCCTGCAAATGTTGAAATTGGCATGGTGCATTTTAAACATATACAGGACAAAATGAGAATGCCAAACACCAGAGATAAAGACCAATATTAGAATGCCTGTGTACCTCGTCGGCAAATAGCCTTCCATAAGGAGTTCTAGTGAGTTGGCACTTATCTTCATTTGAGCCTTCAATGTCAGGAACCTGTATTTCAAAATAACAATAGATGTTTTTTCTGCACTTAAGTCTGAGCACAAATGTCTTGAGGTCTATGAAGATGATACAGCACTACAATATAAAGATTCCCATGGCGTAATTTAACCTAACTTGTAAACAATCAATTCGAAATTGAGAAATTGATTCAATGCAGGAATGAAAATTCTAACCGGGATAATGGTTGGATCAAGAGCTCGTTGAATAGCTCCTGGATCGGCACCTGAATCAACAGCAATACGAGCCAATTCCAACACAGAATTCGGAGGCGACAAAATCAGCTCATCAGCTTCTCTTCCCCTCCGACTTGACCCGACAATCGAATTGGAACAAAGCACTCGTCTAGTAGGAAGGACTTCATCGAAGGGAGCAAGGAATTTGAAGCATGACCAGAGCTCACGCGCCACTTGTGAATCGACGGATTTGGCTTGGTGAGGTGGACCGAGGACGGCGAGCAAATCGGAGCAGGTAGCCTTGGGATTGGTTGGTGAAGACGAGGCGTGAGAAGAAGAGGAATATGCAGTCAACTTCCTGGGAAATTGAGGAGGCGAGCTTCCAACGACGGCGGCGGTACCGGCGACAGAAAGGGAGAAGAGGAAGGCGAATTTAATTGGTAGCGAGGAACCCATGGCGCTTCGCCGCCGCCGGCCGCCGTCCCTAAATTCCGTCGGAGCTGTTTTGACCAATTGCTGAATTTCTAACGTTGATTGGATTTGGGCTTAGATAAAGCCCAAAAAAAAGGTATGGACGGCCAACAAATACATACGAATGTCAGAGTGTATTCCCAGAGTCAATAGTTTAGGTAAAGTATGGACTGCAAGTGTTAAAAGTGGATTTCCCTTCACTAGAGTTTAGTTGCTCCAAGTTTGGATTTTGAGTTAGGATTTTAATAGTAAAAATTTTGAATTTAAATATTATGATGTGATATAAATAAGTATTGATGTGATATTTTGAATGTATAAATTAATTTTTTTCTTGTATAATATAAAAAAATAAAAAATAAATGATTTGACATTTTTGAAAAAAAAAATTAAATGAATAGTGTATTTTGGGAAAAAATCCCCAAACAAACACGTAAAAATAACAATTTTTCATTTTCATGTGTTAAAAAAAATAAAAATAAAAATAAAAAAATAGTAATTTTGCGATTTTTGCGGGTTTTCCAATAATTTTTGCGATTTAACAAATAAATAACCCATTGCTTATTGTTTTCATATTATGGCTAAAAATAATTTATTTAATTAATATTTAAATTACATTGTAATACTTACTTTATTAAAAATAAAATAAAATTCACAGTGTAATACTTATTTCAAAAGTAGATGTTAATTGAATTAAATACTTCACTTATCACATAAAAATATTCATTAATTTTCTTTTTCTTTTTTTTTTTGTCTATTCACAAAAAGTATTTCTATTTTTTTAATAAAAAATCATACAATTTTTTTTTATATTTTTACCATAAAAAATAACAAAAAATACACATTATATTAAAATTCGTATCAAAAAATTTGAAGCCTATTAAATAATTAAATTATACTAATATATATATATATATACCTATACGTTATTAACATAAATTCATTTTATGGTTTTTTGTCTTAATCCAAACATTCATGTTTGGACTCATGTTATTAATATGTTGAACAACTTTGTTTTGTTTTTATATACTTTTTCAATATGTTTATTATGCAATATTTACAAGCATATATATATATTGCGAAACATATTACATCCATTAAATATAATTATTTGTACTATAATTGAAAAGAAATGTTTTTGGATAAGATAGATGAAAATAATAAAAATAACACATTGAATAAAAACGAAGAAATATAAATAAAAAGAAATAGAAAGTTAATTGAAGTTAAAAAAAAAATATCATGATGAATGAAAACCTTATCAAACAACTAAAAGCAAATAAAAGCCTTAATGTGGATTTTTTTAATGATTTTTATTGTAATTTTATTTCATCATTGATATGCATCGTACTGCCTAACAAAATTTTGAGATCTTGGTGCAGAATTGGCCAATAAAATTTTGAGATCTTAGTTTCATATATGCATCACCTGATAATTCCATCTTCGCCAAAATGAAAAAAAAAAAAACATGATTCTTCTCAAAACTAGTGTCGAACCAGGTTGTAGAGTAGCTTTCTTGCGTTGCAGCTGAGATGAGGAGGAATAAAACCACTTGTAAAATAGTTCGCAATTTCGGCAAACCATAACGTCGTGATTTGCAAGGAATACAATTTTTTATCAAAAAATCATTCATTAATATCTAAGGGTGGTGTTATGAAAATTTCAGGAAATCAAGATGAAACAACAAGGACAAAAGAACACAAGAATTTGGTAACCCAGTTCGATCACGATGATCTACGTCTGGGGGCGCTGCCAAGCCAGGAATTTTACTATCAAGTACGCAGGCACATGTTAAAGTGAAAATGCATGGATATTTATAGCCTAAGCCTTTGACAATAATATCCAAATCATATCTCTAAAATCTAAAATATAATATCCAAATCATATCCCTAGATTTTAGGATATAATCAGGCTTCATATCCCAACAGGTGGCATATATGATAACATTTTACTAAGATGATCAGCAACAAAATTATTGTTTCTCTTGCGATATTTGATCTCAATATCAAATTTTTGCAACAGTAGTCCAACATATCCTTCTATCCGGCAAACTACAAAGCTTGACACAATACCTAAAATAATTGGGCATGTCAATTTTAAGTAATGTGTTATATTTATGTGATATATGTTTACATATAATGCGCTTTCTTTGTATTTATATATATTATATTTATATAATTTATATATTGCATATTCTTATATTACCGTGTTATCAGTATTGTGCTGAATTTTATATTTTAATAGCATAAACAATGTCTTCTTAGAATACTCATAAATAATTGCTTTTATATTAAAATATAAATGCACATTTTCCTTAAATTTATTTGTTTAACCACACATGCATAATATGAGTGGCCAAATAAAAATTATAATCCATGATTGCCTTTATAAACATAGAGTATATAAATATGTATCCCATCCATTCCTAAACAAATGATTATTTTGATTTGGGATATAATCTTATTTTAAAAATTATATTTTTAATAAAGATAATAAGTTTTAAATTCAAATAAAAATATTTATTTATTAAAATAAATATAGAAATAAAGAGATTTTAATAATTCTATATATAATGCATGATATTATATGTTATAAAATTAATTAAATCGATTTATACCATTTTCGTCTAATTTTAATTATTTTAAAGTATATTTGCACAATTTTTTAGGTAATTATTTTTTTTTGTTATTAATTGACAAATTTACCCTTTATGGAAAGATAAAAATTAAAAGTGTAAATAAATAAATGATAAAAAAAAAAGTGAAATTGGTATTTAAAAAGGGAAATAAAACAATTGTTATACGTCCAAATAAAAAAATAAAACATTAATAAAAATATAAAAATATGTTAAATAAAATATGATATACTCCATCTGTCCGCTATATTGAATCCATTTTGGCTCGACATGAGAATTAAAAAAAAAAATGACTATTTTATTTAAAAATGAAAAAAAAAAAAAAAGTTTGAAGTAAGTGATATTAGTTGTAAATAAACGTTGAATGAATGATAATAATTAAATATTTTTTTTTTTTACTATTTTTTATTTTTCAAATATGATAATGAGATAAATTTAACGAACGGATGAATAAGAAAATTAAGTAGGGGTAGAAATGGTTTAGTTATTTGCAAATATATATGTATTTAATACTCAAATTAAACCGAACAAATAGCCAAAATTGCGAATCATTTCCGAACAAAAAAAATTCGGTTAATTGAAAGTATTTGAGATATTTGCAAATAATTTGAATTGAACCGAAATTAAAAAATATATGCAAATAATTAAAATTTCAATTAAATATAAATATTTGTAAATATTTTGAACTGCCGAATAGAAACAGAAACCAATATAAATATTACTATAAAATTTTATATATAATAATATAAATATATTTGGTCAGTTAATCAAACCAAAAAAAATATCAAAAATTAAAATTGAATCAAACCAAATAAATATAAAATATACAAAATTGTATTCAAATTGAATTTGTTCGATTAATCAAAATTTCAATTCAATTTAGTAATTCACAGTTCAATTTAATTTTTTTGCCCACTTTAAAAATAAAAACAAAATTGAGTGACAATAAAGTACTCCCTTCGTCCCACTTCTCATGTTCATCTTTCTATTTCCGTCCATCTCACTTATTTTATTACTTTTTTTTTTGGAAAGGAATTATATACTTTAATCTTATTTTAAAAAATTTAATTTATAATTTTTTTAATTTTAATTATATTAATAAGTTATCTTAATCTTAATATATAATTATTTTTATTATACTATAGTTATTTTTACTAATACATTTTTAATTATTTACTAATTATATCCCTTTTAAATTCTCGTGTCTACAACAAACCAGACAAAATATCCGGGACGGAGGGAGTATAAAAATAAAAATAGAGTAAAAATCATTATTAGTCCCATTCAAATCCAATTTTTTTCATTTTTGGTCCCATACAAAAAAATTATCAAAACTAGTCTCACCAAAAAAATTACTTATCATTTCTAGTCCCACCGTTCAAATTTTGACGATTTCGACTGACGTGGCTGTTACGGATGCTGACTTGGAAGTTGACTCAGACACAACACGCCCGTGTTGCACAAAACACATCTGTGTTTATAATACACCTCATCTGACCGAAATTGAGACCCCAACACGGGCATGTTTATATGGAACACTATGATACACGGGCGTGTTCATTAAGACACGGCCGTGTATGAGGTTGCAGTGGTTCAGAACAGTGTTTAAAACACGGGCGTGTTCAAATAACACACGCCCGTGTTTGAAGCTACAGACCATGACTTCAGTGGCGTGTTTATGTTTTATTGACCGAAAACATCTCGCCTCTTAGTCGAAAAGTCAAACTCTTCGGTTTTTTGTAATGGTAGTTAATAGAGTCGTGTGTCAACGTCGTCATAAACTCCAATGTCAAACTCTTATATGTTGGCTCAATGTGGAAGAAATTACGCCATGCCCTAACCAAAACAAACTCCTCTACTTCCCCTTCTATGCCCAATGTCTCCAATACTTTGCTATCAATATGCTTACTCGTAAAAAAAATTATATCTTTCAACCGCTCATATCGCTCTACGAGCTCTTGTTCTTGAAAATTCAAAAACCGACCACTTAAATCTGTATTCTCCCTTGATGAAAACCAGCGTCGGTTGATACTCCTTTGCCGCTCTGTTGTTTTTCTCGTTTAGGTGTCATTCCTTCAAGTTAACAAGCACAAAGTATTATAACATAATATTGTTCGAAAAATCCAACAAAACCTCAATAAACACAACACCAAAAATAAAACATTATATGATATTGTTCGAAAAATCCAACAAACCATACCAAGAACAAAATACTATACCACACATTAAAGGAAAAAAGATAAATGCAACACCAAGAATAAACCATTATACTACATTGTTAAAAAAAATCCAACAATAAATAGTTCAAAATTGGAAAAAAATTCATATAATTTTCAAATCCAAATGTATACCACAATGTGAAAGATATAACAAGTAAAAGCATTGTATCAACAACAAACTACTTGAAAAAAAATTAAAAAAAAAAAACTTTTTTCCTGAATCTTTAAAATCAACGCAAGGAAACAACCCAAATCAGCCGCCCCTGACCTCGTCGTCTGTCGCCGCCGTCGTCCAGGATGTGTACGTCGAACACGGGAAATTTGTATATATTGTCTCTTGTGTTCGACCGATCCGGGTTTTAAGAAAACCTAACCCACCTCGAATATGGGCGTGTTCAAATATTATATATCCGTGTTTGCTTTACAATGAATTATCTTTAATGAACTGAACACGGCTGTGTATCAAACACACACGGCCGTGTATCCAAACACGGCCAGGAACATGGCCGTGTACAACCCCCCTGGACTATTCTGTTTCCACAACACGCCCGTGTGCGCATGTACACGGGCGTGTTTCTTGTACACGAGGTAAATGTGTAAAACAGGGTTAACACGGCCGTATATTTCTAAAACACGGCCGTGTTGTGTTGCACGGTCAAATACATGGGTGTGTCAACCCCTGTGATAACTAAAAATGTGTGTGTGTGTGTGTGTGTGTGTGTTTACACAAGTCACAGGGAATTTATATTCGAAAATCAGTGAATGGAAATTTATATAAAAGCGATCAGATATAGAAATTTTGTGGTTGTAGACCCTGAGTAGTTATCATAATTATTAATACTCTTTTCACTGGTGAGTTTCCAGGTCGAACACAAGGATTTTAAGTCATGAATTTCAACGGTGAAAATCTTGAAGAAGCGACGAAAACTGCAAGAAGGGGTCCGCTTATAGCGGATCCAAAAGATAGGCTAAAGAAAGCAGTAAGTAAAGCGGTAAAAGTGAAGTGAGCGGAAGCGAGCGAAGCGACGGTGGAAGATGAAGTGCCAGCGGTGACCAGATGTTCGGGACATGAGCGGAAGTGGGGACCAGATAAACGGGACATGATGAATGGCGGTTACCGAGTGAACGGGACATGAGCGAGTGACACATTATATGTATATGTATATATATATGGGCGACAGAGAGTGGAGGAGAGATGTTGTGTCTGAACTGTGCGTTACTAAATAGATATATTTCCCTTGAGGCAATGAGCGAGCGATGCAAGTGTGTTATCAGAAATATATGTATTTTACGAAAGCGGTGAGAATGAAGTAATGTAATTATATAAACTGAATATAAAGAATTCATAACACTGGAATTTTTTACCTTAAGGGATTTACAACAAGACTTCAATGACACCTAGATTCAAGACATTATAAGAAAGAAACCCTACTGTCACTAGGAATCTCTGCGACCTAATAGACCACCGCCTATGCCACGTTAATTTTCCCAAAATCTGCCTCATTAGTGGCTTTACCCTTCTGTTACCTCTTTTTAATCAAAATTGAATTCAGAACAGCAGTTAAGCAGGTCGACAAGGCTCCCGCGTACTTAACTACATTGAACTACCTGAAGACCGCTTTTGGTGCATAACAAGGCTCAAATAATCAATTCTTCTCTAGCTCTAAACCAGTTAAATAAAACTCTCTAAATTCAAACTTTATATAATTGTATAAAAAATGTGGAAGAAATGAGGGTGAAGAATCGAATGATATTTCATTATCTATTACGAAAGCAGGAAAAGACTAGAGCTACAAGGCTGTAAACGAAAGCAGTAATCTAATCTAAGAAAGCTGTAAAAACTTGGCCAAGGGAGGAGGGAAACCACTACTCCCTTGGCCATTCCTGTGGAGAACTCCCTTACAGGGTTGGAGCTCTCGGAAACAGGACGACGACTTGCTTGCGAAAGTAATTGCTAAGAGTATTTAAAATCGAAGTATCGATCCTCTTTCGTAAAGATATCTGGCCCTTTTTATAGCAGGTGGAATGGGGCGGTTGCAATCGGTTGCTGAGCGGTTCCAACCGCTGGGCAGTTAGGCGGTTATTGGTAGTTATTCTGTTGAAGCAGTTGCTGGCCATAACTCCCAGGGCGCTTGCTTTGATTGCACTGAACTGTAAGGGCTCAAATCTTCCTCGCTTGCCGAAGAACTGGAGGGCATCAGCGCAGCTAGGCTCGCTTGTACTGGCTGAAAATGAAATGGTTGTACCGCTGCAGTTGGAACACTTAGTTGGAATATGGTGATATTCTACAGCGGTGGGCGTCTGGGCTGTCGCTTGCAAGCGGGAGAGGTTGTCGCTTGCGGGCGGTGAAGGCTGCCGCTTGCCTTTCATGCCTTAGTATTTTTCAGGAAGTATTATGGGCGCTTGCGAGCGGGGGTGGCTGTCGCTTGTGGCGTCTGCCTTAGCTTTTCTGGCACCAGACTACCGCTTAAAAAGGCAAAAATCGTTAATAATCTCAACAACGAATTATGGATCATGCCAAGCGATATAGATCAATAATGTATGCCATTAAAGAGTCATCGTGATGGTTTTTATACAGAAATTCGAGTAATACATAGTTTTGTCAAGCTAAGAATATGCTCCTATTTAGAGTTATCACCCTGGTATCTTTTTTTTTTTCTAACACAGCCGTGTTTTATGCTACACGGCCGTGTTCTACTCCACAACCACTGACATGGTCGTGTCTGACCCATGGGTTCTATTCTGTTTTGGGAACACGGCCATGTGAGAATCGTCACGGCCATGTTGAAGTAAACGGCCACTGACATAGCCGTGTCTGAGCCCTCTGTTCTACTCTGTTTTCGGAACACGGCCGTGTGGTTGTCTAAAGCCCCGTTTGGATTGGCTTCTGACATGAGCTTTTGGCTTCTACTTCTAAAAAAAAGCAGTTTACACCTGTTTGCATTGGCTTCTGTCCAAAAGCAGAAGCAGCTTTTGAAGCTGAAAAGTGTTTTTTTCAAAAGCACATTGGGGGTAGCTTTTGAAATAAGCAGAAGTACTTTTCAGTTAAAATTACTATTTTATCCTTAATAATAATAATAATAATAATAATAATATAATATAAAAATAAATAACTTATATATTATATTTTAATACAAATTAAAAATATAATTAATTTATTATTTTTAATTTATATACTCTATTTGGATTAAAATTTAAAATTTAAATACCGAATGTAAATAGGAGTATATAAATTTTGTAATTATACTTAAATTATTAAATATAATTTATAAAATTTTAAAATAAATTATAACATACAAATTATATAATATTATACTGTAATTTTATGTTTAATTGATATATTATCCTTAAATTAAAATTTTAAAATATAAATAATCAAAATTTAAAAGTACATTTTTTATACTTTAATTTAAAATCTTTAAATATAATTTATAAAATTTAAATTAAATTATAAAAGTGTTATAGAAAAATACTAGTATTATATTAACCGCATGTCCTTTTAAATAATTTTAACAGTATAAAAACACTTTCAACTATATAATGTCTAAACAATTTTTTACGAAGAGCTGCTTTTATAATGATTTATCCAAACACAAAATCGAACTGCTTCTGCTTTTGGCTTCTGCTTCTGCTTCTGCTTTTGGCTTCTGCTTCTGCTTATTTTTTAAACCAATCCAAACGGGCCCTAACACGGCTGTAATCTATGTACACTGAGTAATACTCTGTGATTCAACATGCCCGTGTATTTGTAAGACACGACCGTGTTTGTGATTTTTTCAATCGAAATGCATGTATACACGGCTGTGTTGTGTGTTACACGCCCGTGTTTAACCCTAAATTTTGGCTAAAACCACTGTTAAAATTAACGCATCCAAACACAACACCTACAAACAAAAACAATACCAAATAAATAACTCAAATTCATCTATACGTCAAACCCACAACAAACATAAGTCAAATTCATACATAAAAAAAGAAGACAAATAACATAAGACTAATCCAAATACAGTAACATAAGCCAAATTCACAAAGAGTAACACAAATCAACTCCACAAACATGCCCAAAATGCATATTTTCTCTCAATGTGTCCCACTCGATGTTCCGTTTTCAGTTGTTGCACCCCTTCCAAAAGTTCTTTTTCTCATATATTTCATACAAACGATAAGAGTTTATTGTAATAAAAAAATCAATATGTGTACCAATATATCACACATCACGTAAGTTGCGTACCGTTAACTTTGCAATGGAAGGTTGTATTGTAGGAGTCTCGGCTTGTTGAAATTGTGGAGTTGAGATACTTTGACTTTGCGCCGGAATATCGCATTTCTGCGACAACTCCTCATCAAGTTGCATTCTGTCCGCCGTAGAATTTTATTCGATCACACTTGCTCTTCTCTTTTGGCAACCCTTCAAAGTATGTCCAACAAGCCCACAAAATTTGCAAGTTCTTCTGACTTTATGTCTTGGTAAAATACTCTCACTAACCTTTTTTCCCGTGATTGACCTTTCTCCATTACTTCATTGGGGTCACGTCTCCTTGCCTTTTTAGGCCTTCCAGCAGCTCGTTTAACATTTTGGGGGAAGTGGTTGAGGCAATTCAGTTTTTGGCCACATTTTTTGACCATCCATTGCACCAATAGTATACGAATACACTTTATTAAATGTCTCAACACTGTATATTTCGTCAACAAAATCCTCTGAATTTAACTGTTGTCAACATATAGCACTCATCGCATGGCGACATGGGATACCACATAACTCCCATTTTCTACAACTGCAGGATTTTTAAAAAATGTCAACAACAAATCGATTCCCATCCGAACAATAAGTCTCGTAACACCAATCATTGACTTTAACGGGTGCACAAGAAAAAGCCGCTTGAATATTTTTTTCCCATAACTTTTACTATCCCCCCATTTTCTATGCGTCATCTCCCTTCGTTTCTGAAGACGCGTTAATAAATATCTTCTAATCCACTCCAACATCAGCAGTATTGACATTTCTCTTGCATCTAATATTATAAAATTTAATGATTCACATAAATTGTTCAAGATCATATCACATTTCGAAAATGTAGCAAAATGTGATCTTGACCACTGAGATGGTGGCTTGTCGGCAAGTCAATCAATGCATTTCGGATCCAACTCTTGAATCTCCTTCATCACCTCCTCAAAGTCGGGGATAGTACTTGCGTTGGCGGCCATCCAAATCAATCTTTTATATGCAAGACCCTTAAATCCAACTATTTTCATATTTCCATACAAATGTCGAACAGAAAATCTTTTTTCACATTAAGGGAAAATCTTTTCCATGGCCGGAACAAGACCTTTTTATTTGTCAGATATAAATGTATAACCCTCGTGCTCTATGTTCAAATCCTTCCTTAGAAAAGTGAAAAACCATTTCCACGCTTCGCGTGTCTCACTCCTGACAACAGCATATGCCAAAGAAAACAACTCATTGTTGGGATCAATTCCAATGGCAGTCAAAAGAATGCCTTGACAATGACCTTTTAGGTGACAACCATCCACCCCAATGATAGGTTGACATCCAGACTGAAACCCACGCACAAGCGATTTCAAACATATGTAATACTTGCTAAATCTGTGTCGTCCATTCAAAAATTCGCCTTTCAATTGCATAAAAATAGTTGACCCAGGATTAGACTGTCGTAAAGCTTCAACATAGTCCCATAACTTTCCATATTGCTCTTCAACATCACCTTCAATTGCTTTCAGTGCCCATTTTCGTGCTCTTTCTGCTTGTTGTTGGGATATATTGCATCTAATGTCTTCGGTGACGTCTTTCCTAAACCCTTTTATACGTCGTTTAGGATCTGATCGAAACAACCACTCATAGTTCCTTGCAAGCCATGTCTACTTCACATTCTTCACATTCGAGTCGCACATACAATCATGATTGCAATTATATGTCCTTAGTTGAAAAGATGCTTGATCATTCACCTTTTAACACATTCATTTTCCAATTGCAGATCTCAACAGCACATCGGACATAAACTCTTCTTTTATCATTCTTGACAAATTTCAAACTTCTCATTGTCTTGATAGCATGATTCTGCACCGCCTCCTTGAATTCTTTTTTAGAGCTAAAAATTATTCCAAGACTAAAAGTGGGATCATATTTTGACACTGGATCATAAATGACATACGATTTCATCTCATCAACATCGGATTCAACAAACATGGTTAAATATTTTTCTTGAGAATCACCAAATGACATGTCATCTTCAGAATTTTGGTGCACCACGACAGTTTGATTTTCATTAAACTCATTTATATCCACATTACTCTCGAACAATGACCGATCAATCCTATCATCCTCCAAATCTTGTTCTTCCATCATATAATTGGAATCCTCAAAATCCGATTCATTAAGCATTTCATTCTACTCATCTTCTTCTCGAATTTCATTGCAATCCAAATTTACATCTTCATCGTATATTTCTTCGACACATTTTTCTTTATCATAACTCATTTTTATGATAAATAATTTTCTCCTACAATACAAGTGAGGATATAAAGACATATTGAATACGCTAATTATAAAATACAAAAAATTATGCATTAATTATAAAATAATACATTATATAAAACTTATTTCTATAATATTCAACTTTTCATACAATATAATACATTAATCACTAGAATATACAACTTATACATATTATTATTTTTATACCATAAAAGACAATAAATTTATGAAAAGAACAAATTAAAAATTACCTCCACAATAGATTCCACAATAATATTCTTCACTTCAAAGAGATAAAATATAATATATGAAAAGTGAGGTTAATAGATTGGATAAGTGAGGCTGGAATGAGGAAAAAATTGAAAAGAATTTGAGTGAAATAGATTTTGAAACGGGGGATATGTGTGGCTAGGGTTTTTGTCAACAACAAGGTCGAACACGGCCGTATTTTACTTACAAACACGGCCGTGTACCGCTAATTCTAATAACCAATATTTTTAATGGTACAACACGACCGTGTCTTAATGAACACGCTTGGGTATTCCGTAGAAACACAACCGTGTTCCATATAAATACGTCCGTGTTGGAGTATCAAATTCGGTCAGATGAAGTGTATTATAAATACGAGCATATTTGTGCAACACGGACATATTATGTTCGAATCAGCTTTCAAATCAGTATCCGTAACAACCACATCAGTCGAAATCGTCAAAATTTAAACGATGAGATTAAAAATAATAAATAATTTTTTTGAATAAAATTAATTTTAATTATATGGAACTTAAAAAAAAAAAAAAAAAAAAAAAAAAAAAAAAAAAAAAAATTGAATAAGACTAATAATGATTTTTACTCATAAAAATATATCTGATACTAGGCAGTAATCTTTAAACGTATCTGGTTGGGATTTGCTTTCGACGCGGCGAGCCACATGATCGGGGTGACGTTACATCAATTGAATAGGGTATATGATAATGACGTGGGGGCAGTCCTGTTAGTACTATTTATTGAAAAGAAATACACTAGAAAACAAACATCTCATGTCATGTCACGAGGCAGTCGCTGCAATAATTGGTGCGTGGTATATCAATTAATTAATTGTTCATTATTTTTATTTTCTTTGATTTATTTAATTTTTTTTTTAGAAATATAATTATATATTTTAATTATACTTCCTCCGTCTTATTGAAAAATTGTCATTTTTTATTTTCATCAGTTCCAAAGCAAAATTACTATTTCCTAATTTAGTAATTTTACTACCAACTTAACATAATAAATACACTTCCAACTTACACCATATTACACAAATGCCATTAGTTTTATATTACACAATACTAATAGAGCATTTTCGTCTTTTTCACTATAACTCATTATAATACTAATATTAAAAAATTTACGTGCAAAAACTAAATGACAATCTTGCACCGGGATGAAGGGAGTATTAAAATTAATAATATATAATTTTTTATTTTAATTAAATTATTTAATTTTAATTTAAAATTACTTTTATTAATATATTTTTTAATTATTTATTAATTATATAATATTTGAAACTCTGTACTTTATTTAAATGAGATAAATTAGTTGGACGGAACAGTAACTACGCAAACGTATTATATTAATAAAATAGAAATATTACTCCGCATTTATTACTGTCTATATCCCATTTTTGTTTTTTTTCTTTATTTTATTTTTGGCACACTTTTTAAATGATAATAATTTTAAGAATATCTTTTGATACTTTTATCTTTATATCTTATTTATACATTTTTATAAATTATTTTTAAATGAATAAAATATTTAAACATAAAAAAGTTAAAAAAAAAAAAAAGAAAATTATAAGATAAAATTGTTTATAATTCATATGTTTATACTATATTCTTTATGATTTAGAATTATATGATTTTAAAAAAAATTATATAATTTTTACTAAAAATTACATGAGATTTTTTTGTATTTTTTAAAAATATTATATAGAATTTTATTCTTAAAAAATTAAATTATAATAAATTTTGTGTATACATAGTAACAAAAAAATTAAGAGTGAGTAGTATTTATAAAATTTTCAAGGACAATAAAGAGTATTATTTAACAATGTAAAAGAAATATGGATCAAGAAAATTACTATAAACTACAAAAATAATATAAATGGTCACACAATTGGCGGACTCTATAATAATGCTATATTTACGTTATTACTAACATTTTTAGAATTATAATTATTATTATTTAATTTTTTAAAAAAATTATAATAAGCATATAATTTTTTAGTAGTATGATGTGATATAAATATGTATTTGTGTGATGTTTTGAATGAGTAAAATTTATTTTTGATCTCATTCAATAGCATAATTATCAATTTTGGTTTAATTCAAATTTTATTTTTTTATCAATTTTGGTTCCACAAAAATAAAAATTTATCGATTTTAGTCCAAATTGACATGGCTGTGTTGGATGACTTAGAAGGTGACTGAGTGTCCCAGGCAGCCACGTTGATTACCCTGCATTTCTGAACACGGTCGTGTTCTTGCCCGTGTTCTGAACACAACCATGTTCCTGCTCATGTTCTCAACATAGTCATGTTCTTGCACATGTTCTCAACACAATCATATTTTAGGTCATGTTCACGATCATGTTCGCTATGTTTTAAGCCATGTTTACGACTATGTTTCAATATAATTATATTGTAGGTCGGGTTTATTATTATTTTCACTTCTTAGTTAAAATTATTTGATATATATATTTATAATTTAACAAAAATATTTTTTACAATTATTTCATAATATAAAAAAAAATCAATTTTTAATATTTTACAAAAATAATTGCAAAAAAAAAAAATAATATATTAATATATATTTTATTATGAAATAATTGTAAAAAATATTTTTGTTGAATTATAAATATATATATCAAATAATTTTAACCAAAAAGTAAAAATAATAATAAACACGACCTACAATATGATTATATTGAGAAAATGGTCGTGAACATGACCTAAAACATGACTGTGTTGAGAACATGGTCGTGAACATGACCTAAAATATGGTTGTGTTGAGAACATGAGCTGAAATATAGTTATGTTGAGAACATGGATATAAACATGGTTGTGTTGAGAATATAGCTTGTTCAGAACACGGGCAAGAACACAACCGTGTTCATAAATACAAGGTAATCAACACGGCCGTGTTTAGAAGTGTAGGGTAATCAACACGGCCGTGTTGGCTGCCCGGGACGACCAGTCACCTTCTAAGTCATCCAACAAAGCTGTGTTCAAGCCAACATGGCCGTGTTAAGTCCCAGTCAACCATCTTGGGACTAAAATTGATAAATTTTCGTTTGAGTGAGACCAAAATTGATAAAATATTTTGAATGTAATCAAAATTGATAATTATGATATTGAATGAGACCAAAAATGATTTTTACTCTAAATTTGAAATAATATAAAAAAAATAAAAAATAAGTGTTTGATGTGATATTTTTGAAATTTTTTTTTTGGATAAATAGCAAAATCCCTCAAACAAACACACTCTAAATAATTTTTTTTGCTAAAATAGTCATCGACTTGTCGTTGCTGATATTGCGCTGATGCTACTGACATATATCGCCACGTCAGTGAATAGCGAAAATTATTTATTGCCAAATTATTTACAAACATAATCTATTTAAACTTCTAAAATGATAAATAAATTAAATTTAAAAAAATAAAATAGTTTGTAAAATAAAAAAAGAAAAAATTCAAATGTCACATGACATCGACGATAACATTACAATCGCGATAACGTTAGCAACAACATACCAATATACGAAGAGTCCAAGGAAAGACTATGTTTGAAACAAATTTTAAAGTACTAAAATAATAATAATAAAAAATAAGGATCGTTACTATAATATCGGTTTATTATTTTAGTTAAATTGTCTAATTTAGCACGTAATTTTGAATATTCTATAATTATAATTAGTAAGTAATTAAAATATATATTAATAAAAAAAATAATAATTTAATTAAATAATTAAATAATTTAACTAACATAAAAAAAAAATAAAAATGAACAAATTAAATAATAAGGAGAATGGAGTAATATAAATACGAAAATGACGTGAAAGCGGCAGTTCGTCTATGTTGGGTGAGTAGGAATAACACACACAAGTTTCCAAAGGAGCGAGAGCCAGAAGAGCGACACGTCTCATTGCCCTTTGCGACGCTACTGCGGTGCTGGCAGGATCATCTCCAAGCGCGCTTCCTCTTCATGGAATTTCCTGTCACGGTACCCACACACCTTTCACAATCCTCTCGCTGATTCCAATCAGGAGCCAACACCTCAGAGCCGTCGCAATTGCCGGTCAGGTCGGTGGGGACACTCGGTGAAAGCGGACTGAAATTACTGCGCCACACTCGAGTAACGGATACCGAGCGAGTCGTCCTTAGCTGTTCATTAGTGGACTCCAACAGTTGTTTCCACCCGATAAAAGGTAACCTAATATTGGCATTGTTTCCTTTATTATCGTTTCTTTATTTGTCATAATTAGCAGTATTTATATTAATTGTGGATAAACTCTATGAACTGTTTCCCTCTTTATATATATATATGTATCGTTGCCAATTCACAAACTCGTGTTGTGTTGAAGCACTAGGGTTCCTTCGTGAGCGTCGAAATGGGGGAGAGCAGCGAGGAGATTGAGGTGATAAACTTGTGGTCTTCGCCTAGGTCTGTGAGTACGAGTCTGCTATACTCATTTGCTCAGGTAAAACTGCGACGTAGGGAACAGTGTTATGTATTTTGCCTCTTATGAGATGTTTTTCTACTTTCCTTAGGCGTGTAATTTCATCGTGTTTGATCTTTTATAGGGTTGATTGTCGTGGAAACACTTTTTAGAATGGCTAGTTCTACTTTAAGTTTTTGTTTATATATCCTTATTCTGGGAAAAAAAAAAAAAGGGTTCAGTGTTGTTGCATTTCTTTCTAGGAAGTTGTTGGGACATTTACGTTGTCTGGGACGACCATGTCGAGTTTTCTTGATAAAAAGTTAAAAATAGTGAGTTTTCAAGTGCAGGCGCTGTATAGAACTAAGACACTAACTGATACATCTAAATCAGTTGATCTATGGTAAAATTTGAATCTGATGCCAGGAAATTTTGTCTGATGGAATATTTTGAGTATTGGTTGAAATGTCTGTCCTAAAGAAAAGTCTTCCATGAAGTACGCATGTTACTGAGTTTCGGTGTACAGAATCTTTGCACTTTTTTCCTTCATTTGGCACTGAAGGCTTTTGGCTACAGGGATGAAAACTTGAAATACCTTTCTTCTGTTGTTATCATCTAAAACTAAGCCATTAACTTTATTTGCTTGTATTGGGCCCAAATCACAAGACTGCTTATATAAAGAGGTCCAAACCTTTAATAACCCTATTGCCCACTTCTACTTTCTAGTTCTAGGTGATCATACCTGCTGACTATATCATATAATTGTACTAAGTAAAAATATCATAAGAAAAGCTTGGTATGCTTTTTGAGTTCCAGAATAGGTCAGAACGATATTGTCATACCTTTCACTAACCAGCTCTGTAAGATCCACTGCGTTAATTTGCTACCATATTTGAGTGTGTGGTGGTATTGCAATGCTTCTGGAAGTGCTTAATTGTTAGATGATTCAGTTCTCTAAAATTTTGGAGAAATTTTCAGCCTAAGTGTCGCGACTCATTTCACCCAGCCTCACATGCTATGTACTTGTTCTTTTTAGTTTCCACACACGGTCCACCATCTGTTAGTTGTAGTTCATATCTTTGGAACATTTAACTTGTGGAATATTACCAAAATCGATTCATCTATTACCCACATTATCATGGAAACATTCTGAAATATTGGAAAGACAACAGTGGGAACTCTTTACCTGGGATGCAGCTATTGGTTAAGTAAATCTCTTTGGTAATGGTATACAATATTTTCAATTTTCTCAGAGAGATGACATGGAAGTGCTTGATGAACCTCTCTATCCAAATTTTTTAAGAGTGACTGGAGCTGATAGGCCTTATACCAAGTACGTCCTGTCCAACATGGTACGTTGAACGAATTATGTTCCATCTATAATTTACATTTTCCGTCCATTACTTGAATTTATTTCCCTCGGCTATTATTTGAGTAATTCATCAGTGTTTATGCACATATATTGTGAGTGCTGATGTAAGTAAGCATCTGTAAGAAAATGGAATTCCCATCATTTGGCAATTACCTAGAAGTAAAACCATGCGAGAGATTTCTAAGGGGAGATTTGTTGCCCCTGCTTAAGAAGTTTTGGACCTGCTGCATTATGTGCATTGTATTATTGATTCCGTCCTGCTTTTTGGGATGAACAGGAATCCGATGGAAATAAGGTTGTGAGAGAGATGATTTTTGGCCCTGGAAAGAAAAAGTATAGGTTTGTCAAGGTAACTTACATTTGTTCAAGATTGTTTGAAGCAGTACTATTAATCTCCATGTTTATTGTTTCATTCTACTCCCTCCGTCCACAAACTAATATCCTATTTTCCTATTTGGGATGTCCAAAACTATTGTCCTATTTTTTTTTTTTTTAAACACAAATTTTACATTTTTACTTTCATTCACTTATTATTTTTAATCTCTACCATACACTTAAGGGCAAATTTGTCCTATTATTTATGCTTTGTGCTCTTAAGAAACTTTCATTTTTCAGTTGAAGTCACTAGATTAAGTACCATCCCTGACGTATTGATTGTTACCTTCTGTTTAAAATATGATCGTAATAGAGCTTAATGAGTCAATTAACAACATATCCCTAAATGAACCAATTTTTATTTATTTTTTATTTCTTGGAACAGTGGTTTTTATAGGTTTAACTAAAGAGTATTTGTATCTACAATTAAACTTTCAATATAGTTTATTTGGATATTCACTAAGATGAAGTATCTTATGTATGCTTAGATGGACTTCAAGGAAACAAGTTTCATATTCTGTTTTAATTACTATTATTACTTATATTCAGTTAGGAAATCATAGAGGCATTTGCTAAATTGTATGTCCTCACCTGTTTCTCTCCTTCCCTTTCTCCAGCACATGGCTAGTCAACTGTTGCCCGGCCTGCCAGAAGAGTTGACAAGGAAAGGAAAGCACTGCATATTGATAAGGAATCCACTTGATGTGTTGGTAAAAAAATGAATTCACTTCGTCTCTTTACTTCTGTCTAGTTTTCACCACATCTTGTTCAATATCATACAATTATTGCTTTAGCTTGTTAGTAATCTATGTCAATTACCCATTTTCCAGTTCTCTAATGTCAAATGGTTCATACTCCACAATGTGTAATAATATGCAACTACAAGGTAGTTATTTTACTGGTCCTATATTGTTTGTTTTTTCAGGCATCCTATGACAAGGTCATTCCTCCATTTTTCATGGATATGGGTTATGATATCATGCTCTCCATTTATACCCAGCTGAGTGATGAAGGAAGGCCCCCTCCTGTTATTGATTCAGATTTGCTGCGTGGAGATCCAGAGGTTTAGAAATGTTTTTTAACTTAAGAAATTTGACTTTTGCTTTTCTTGTCCTAAGTGCACTAGTCCTTAATTATGTTCTCTTGCCCAAATAGTTTTTTTTTTTTTCTTTAATAGTTGATAGTATTCCACAAATTGGAATTTTTTATTTCCAAGTAATGTTCTACTTCTGCAATCATGTATCTTTGTATTTGTCCAATTTCCAGCTCAAATATGTATGTTTGCATGCATATGAGATTTTTAATCTCGTAAGACATGACATTGGAAAATGAGTAGTGAATGCTAGATGTTACTTCTTTTGAAGTCAAGTTTACATTAGATAGCTACCAATTTTCTGCTTGGAAACACTAAGTTAGTATGACCCAGAATGTAGCATAAGCCTATCATAAAGTGTTTGAAGCTTTATGTGAGCTCAGCCACTACAATTCATGTTCATCATACAGCTTAGAAAACCAGTCAGCTTCCAAACCTTTGATAGATAGCAAGATAAAAAATAACATGAAGTTAAGAATAAAGAGGAAGTAGAGTCTTGGTAGTTGCTTGTACATCGGCAGTGGGGTTGGATAAGCTTGTTGTTCGCGGGTTTAGACTATTTATTTGTTTTTCTATTAAGATATTATATTTTTTAGGTGGATTTGCCCCTTAGTTAATAGGTGAGCTTATTTTATTTTTAATAAGTAGGATTTAGTATAAGTATTTAAAGAGACTATTAGCGTTTGGAGAACATGATTTTTGATATTGGAAATAAAGGAGCATGGTGGTTTGGGCAAACGATTGATTCCGTTTGATTCCTCCTATAGTAATGGTGGCTTATAACTGGGTTGTATTCATTTTTTAAAACTAATCTTCGGCCTTCGTTTTCTGGTGCTTTTTAAAAGTATTGCATCATAAAAAATGATTTGCATGTTCATCTTTTGAAGAGTCTGTAGTATCTTTCTGATGAACCACATGTTTAATTTATGCTTTCCGATTCGTGTATTTTTTATTTCACTATCCTTTTGACAAGATTTGGATGGTGATTCATCTCAGGATATTTCTTGCCTTTGTTCTAGTTATACTGCTAAACGTGAATATTTCATTGCATCTTTGTTTCTATTATTAGAGTAATATGTATCCAATTTTGCTCTCTTGCAGGGCACTTTACGTGGCCTATGTGATGATCTTGGTATTCCATTTCAGCCTGCAATGCTCAAGTAAGCACAATTATTCTAGAATATAAATTCATTTATAGCAAGAACTATTTATCCACTGTGCATGAAATCCCTTCATTCGAACACAACCAAAGAAGCTTCTATAATCTGCATTGAACTTATTTGGGGGGATATCCCAAGTTTCTGGTTAAAACATGAAGCCACTGAAATGACCATCTAATTTCATCATTTGGTATTTACTCGGAACATGAAAGACATTTTCTTTCCTTTTTTTATAGTTAAATTGCCTATATTGTTACTATTAAAGGAACAAACGTATTTTGAACAAGCTGTTCTTACTAGAGCTATATGGGGCATGAAGATGCATCATTTAATATATTTTTTTTTTTTATATTTAAATTCCTTTGTTATGACCTCTCCTGTGGATAATATTTTTCCAAAAAGCTGTGGAAACCTTTTTCGTTTATGAGCAATGAGGATTTAAACAGTCTCTCACTCCCCTGTCATGATAAATAATCATTTTATGTAGAAGCTTCAATTTTACACAAGATGGTCATATAATACTAAATTGCTAATATAATAATTGGCATCAATTTTATTGTTTATATTTAATTTTTATGATGTTTAATTAACTTATCAAAGTGCTATTCGTATTGTCTTTAAAGAAATTGGTCGCTATATTCATGAAGTAATGCAAGCAACACAAAACTGATGGTTTTGGTATACTGGTAATAGTAAAATTCGATTGCTATTGTAACAGTCCGTGCATGTTCTCTAAGTATGTGTTTGAACTTCGAGTATTGAAGATGGTTAGGTGTGGATGTCAGAATTTGAGTATATTTTGTAACTATTAATTAAGACATGCCAAAAATGGCCCCCTGGGTCTAAGCGTATACGAAGATGCAGTTTTCGAAAGTAAATTGTTTAGAGTCTTCTCTATTTATTCTACGTAACCACACAGTTTTCAAGAAATGAATGATATAAACTTTCTATGCGATTCTGTGACTATGCTTGAATCATTATCTTCTAGTTTATTGATTATTTTTATCTTTTCCATCCATGTAATATTGTAATATTTATTGATGACTGATATGTACATACAATATGATTTAACCGGTGCATAATGTGTTTTTTTTAAACTGTCTTGTACTGGAACATTGAGTGTGAATTTTCCTTTCAGATGGGAAGCTGGACCAAGACCATTTGATGGCTTGTGGGCCTCTTATTGGTATAAGAATACACATAAATCGACGTGCTTTGAACCTCCTAAGAAGTATCCATCAGTGAGTACTGGATAACCTTCATACCTTATTTTTTAAGGTGCATTATTAATCTTAATGGCTAAATCTTATTGGTCATATGTCTTTGTCTATATGCTTACATGTTTGTTATTTCTCAGTTGTGAAATTTGGCTTGTGCATGTGTGCAATTATGGTGTTAGTAGATATGATTTGTTTGTGTATTTTTATGCATATATAAGTATTATGATTGAATTCTGTGAATGGTATCTAGCGTTAATGATTGGTTATTCATGGATATAGAAATGGTAGTAATTGCTTCTGGAATAGTGCACTAGGCAACCTATTCATTAGATTGCCACAAAATATAAGAACCATATTTTATTATGTTTATGATAGTGCTCCACAAATTTCCTTTCCATTCTACCTATTATCTTTATATGATCATATGCTGGGAAGCTGCTGATTACTTGTGTTTTGCGCTATTCATTCAAAGAGTTCCCCCTAAAAAATATTAGATCCAAGACCTAATTTTCATTTAAACTATTCCGTCAAGAACCTACTCTATTCAGAATCCAATACCTATATTCCATTCAAGTTTTTAATATTCAAAAGTCAAAACAACTCAACAAATTAAAATACTTCCAATGCACAACAAAATGCTCCCGTGGTTACTGGTCCTATCTCCTATGTTTTACCATGTGAAGCAGTTGTGCATCTACTGCTTATTATTATCCACCACTTCTAAACAACTCAATGCACTCTGACAAGTATCATAACCAGAAAATTTTAAGTGTGGTACTGGCAAGTTAGAAATTAATGGTTTGTAACATGATATTTCAGTTTCATATAAGAGACATCAATTGATATTTGGTCATGCTTCTCTTTGCAGACATTTCCACCTAGTTTGTATGGCTTGCTTGAGCAAAGTTTACCTTTCTACAACTTGCTTAGGCAACATGTGAAGCAGCCTACTACTGAGTCACTTCGACCCAGTATTCCGTTATCTGCCAATGAAAAGTTGCTTGTTTGGGTTGGTGACCAGATTTTGCCTCGTGAAAGTGCAAAGGTAAATTTTCCCATTAATATGAGAAATTGAAAACTAATTAAAGTAATACAAATAAGTTCCAGCTCATAGTTCATATTTTAATTTTTCTTCAGCATGTTTGCACTATGTATTGTTGCTTGTGGAATGCTGTAGGTTTCAGTGTTTGACTCCATTGTGCAAGGAGGTGATGGAGTTTGGGAGGGTCTAAATGTTTATAATGGGAAGATATTCAAATTGGAGGAGCATTTAGACAGGTAACTGCAGTGGGTGGGAAAGATTGTGTTTCTTGTCTATATGGCTTTTGATCCCACTTTCTTCATGAGAACTAAGTTAGATGCTGTATTGATGGGGCATTTATTATTTTAAACCCTTACCTGATAATCCATCACGACAGAAATCTAGAAATTTTGTTTCCTGAAACCATGTATTCTAATTTAAGTGACTTTTTTTATTGCTTCTAGTTAGATAAAATAGCTGAAAGGAAACCAGGTGTTATACATAATCAAATTACTTTCCTTCAAGATCTAGAAAAGACAGGCTGTAAGTTTACCAGTACTATGAGCAGAATGCCATCCGATATATTGATGGGTGACGTCAATAGTTTATGATACAGTTGAATGGAATTTGATATTTTAGTTTCTGGGGTTGACACCTATGCTTTTGAAATATTGGGGATATTTGTCCTGAAAGGAGGGTTTATGCATTTGTATTTATTAAGGGTGTGTTTGTTTGAGGTTTTGGATTTTGAATTGGATTTTAAATAGTAAAAATTTTTGAATTGAAATAATTATGATGTGATATAAATAAATGTTGATGCAATGTTTTGAATATAAAATTAATTTTTTAGTATAATATAAAAAATAAGAAATAAGTGTTTGATTTGATGATTTGGAAGAAAAAATTGTTAAATAGTAGAAATTCAGGAAAATCTACCAAACGAACACACCCTAAATATGCGTATTCCCACCAACGTATGTCATAAACTTGTGAAGTTTTGTATTGTTTTTCTTTGGAGATATCTTATTTTATAGTTGATATACACTAAACTACAAGTGTGGGTTATTTCCTTAATCTTGATCGGAATCTAAACTGTAATTACATATCTCTTTTGTTTGCGACTCTAATCATATCTAAATTTAGATTGTTCGACTCAGCAAAAGCTTTAGCATTCAGCAACATACCGACTCGTGAGCAGGTGATCCTTACCAAATCCTTTACTTATGGTTCATCTTTCAGCAGTGAGCTCATGGTAGGATTTATCTTTTGGATATTGTAACGTTTGACGCATTACCTAATATTGCAGGTGAAGGAAGCAATATTCAAAACTCTTATAACCAATGGAATGTTTAATGATGCACATATTAGAGTGACATTAACTCGAGGGAAAAAGGTACACTCATCTTTGCCTTATCTAGTTTTGTTTCTGAAAAATGTATTTTGAAGTTCAAAAACATAACTATTGAATTTTAAGTTGAACATATCCCTTGGCCTTGATTGACAAAATAATAGCTACATAATGTCCTGCAACCTTGGGGCTGGGATCTGATTATTGTATTTTGCTTGATTTGTCTCTAACCTTGAGCTTTACATCAGTTGATGCATTTTTTTCATGTCATAATTATATTGTAGGTGACATCCGGAATGAGTCCGAAATTCAACCTCTATGGATGTACATTGATTGGTAAGCTGCAATTGTAATGAAGATAATTCACTGTTATATTATATGAAAAGGGAACCATGAATGCTGCCTTTAATTTAAATCATCTTGTCTGCATCATGGTATGATGTTTGTTATTTAGCATTGGTGAAATAATAATTAAAGAAAGTGTCAACTGAAAAGCCCAATGGGTGTGGATTTTTCGGAACATCTTTTATATGATGGGAACCTGAAAGGTAGAGGTAAAGTGGACTTCTGTCTCAAAGTTTCTGTAATTTACTAAGAACCTTATTTTAAAAGCAGTTTAGCTGCTGTGGTAAGATTTTGATCCAATAAAAAATTCAACTAAATTTTTTTCATTAATATAGGAATCTATTTCACTCCACTGGAAATGAAAATATGCTAGAGAGGCTTTTAGGTGCATTTTATCTTTGTCAAAACACGGCTTAGATCACCTGAATGGTTGGAAAGCAACTAGCAAATTGTTTAAATTCTGGTTAGTAGATTTCTCATTTTTTGGATTCTTCAGGTACATGAAGCAGTTTCCTTGTCAGAGCGTGCTCTGGTTTGTATGCTTGCTCATTTTCGTTGGAATTTTGTATGTTTTAAAATGCCAAGATTATTGTTTCTTTTATTCTTCTGTTTATACTTATATTCTAGTGGAGTGATGAAAATAATTTCTTTATGTAGCATTAGAAAAGCTTATATTTACACTGCTTTGGTCTTGGAAGAAATAATTGTACTTCAGGGTAATTTATTCTAGTGGAGTAATGAAAATAATTTCTATATGTAGCATTAGAAAAGCTTATATGTACACTGCTTTGGTCTTGAAGAAATAACTGTACTTCAGGGTAATTTATTCTGGTTTCTGTCTTATACTCAGTGCTTGGTGAATGGAAGCCACCAGTATGCGATAATGCAAGAGGTATAACATTGGTGACTGCAAGCACACGCCGGAATTCACCTAATGTAAGGCACAACAATATTTATTGTCTTGTTTTGCTTTTTTAATTCCATTGTGATTTTGTGTGTGTGTGTGTCATGCATAATGTAAGATGATCTCATCTTCTTAGGAATAGTGCTTTAGTTGGTAAATAAAATATGTTTATAATGCTTATCAAATAACATTTGTTGGTTTCTTGCAGAACATGGACTCCAAAATCCACCACAACAACCTTCTTAACAATATTCTTGCCAAGGTAATGCCTGTGAATATATGCGTTTCATCAGTAGAAAAAACATGCCCTGATTATTTGCTGGAAACTGACGTACCCATCAACTTCTTTTATACTCCCTCTGTTCTTTTGTTAGTTTTTTTATTTCCTCATGGCTTTTTAGGTGATATAAGTTATAAGGCTTATGGTCCATTTTTCCCTTAATTTTTTGTTTGGAATGACTTTATAAACTCAAAAGAAATTACATAGAAATAAGTAAAATTTTATGTAAATAAGGAAAAGTTTAAGATGTTTTGGGATATCCTAAATAGGACAATATTTCAATGATTGAATGTATTTTTTAGGCTACTGTATTTTGTTTGATTTGACTGTGTAAAATGTTTTTGGTTTGAATGTACAATCATTCTAAATTGATGCAGATAGAAGGGAATAATGCGTGTGCTGATGATGCCATCATGCTTGATAAAGATGGCTACGTCTCAGAAACCAGTGCATCAAACATTGTAAGTTATACTATTCGTGATTTTCAGTCTCTTGCAATCCTCAAAGCAACTTTTTAAGAGACGGCCTGCAAGTATTTCATACAAGTTGAGTCTCTGGATTTTGGTTTCTTTATACTTACAGAGACCATCCCTATCAATAAATGAAGACTTTTATGCATGCTGATATATTATATTGTCTATTTGTGAACATATATATGCAATATACTGATTATATATATTTTATTTAATCATTTTTTTATATACAATATATAATTAAAGATACACGACTTTATCTCTTAGATGATGTGAGTGTATAGGGTATAAATTCATACGTTTTTATGTATGCTTGATGTGGCTATATGTGTATATATAGAATATTAGATAATATAGATGACCATCAAAATATGGTGTAAATTTGGGAAATGACTGTAGGTTAATCCCTTGGTTTTGCAGTTTCTGGTGAAGAAAGGCATCATAGCAACTCCCCATGCTGATTACTGTGTTCCGGGCATAGCGCGAAGCACTGTAAGATTCATAATTTCCTTTTCTCTTGGTATAAAGGCATCCATAAATTTCATTAAACATTGGATTAAAATAATCTTGACATGTGAGATCACTTTTTGTCCAATGTTTTGTCAGTTTTCATCTTTGGGGAAATATGATAACATTATAACTAATTTTCGGTGACTAATTTTATGCAGAAATGAGATATTGGGGTAGTCTTCAAATCTTCCTATCTTTTTATTTGAATGGTAAAATGGTAAAATGATGGTTATCATTAAGATGTTTTAAAAAAATTATAAGATAAAATTTCACTGTTTGTATTCCTTCTGCATGCCTGGTTTTTTATGTATTTTTTTTCCTAATAGAGTCATATTCAATTTGGGCTTTGCTGTTTGTGGTACTGAGTCGCCTCCCCCCCCCCTCCCCTTGTTCTGTAGGTTTTTGATCTCGCAACTAAGGAAAGCTTGATATTGATGGAACGTCGAATTAGCATATCAGAGTTCTATACAGCAGATGAGGTTAGTATTTTTATGTTTCCTAATGCAAAAATTTGAAGGGATTAGCTAGATAGGCATTTTACTTGTTACCTACTAATGGCATTTATACAATAGTGATGATTTCAGTATTATTGGAGTAATAATATTGCCATGCTCCAAGTTAAAAATTTTATGTCACCTGAAAAAGTACAACTACATGTATTCATTTCTGTTATGTCAAGTGAGGGTTTTTAGCTCTTGAAGTACGTTGGGTGGATGGGTGGACCTACTTAGATCTCATATGATTTTCTTATTCATAGAGAACTGGTCCAGGTTCGACAGGAGAATCTTGTTGGAGAATAGGTACTTCAGTTACAAATTGTATAGGTCGTTTTTGGCATCAACTTATGTGTTGGTTGTGATGATCTAAACACTACCCTTGATGTGAGGTTGGTGGTTTTTATGCTCAATGTGGTATGTATCACGTTGAAGTGGCCGAAATATGTGTCTTCCCACTTAAAACAATTTTTATTGCAGTAAAACTTTTTTTCAAGGTCCTTGCTCTAATTTACATATGTAGGTAAGTTGGTTATCTCTGTGTCATTTGCTGCCGACGTAACTAGTTTTTATGACTTTACATTAGCCTTGCACGTGATTGAGTTTATTAGAAAGAATTGCATGGCTATTGATACTTAGATCAGGAAAAGCAAACCTTTGCAATTGCATATTATTTCAATATTAATAGAAATGGCTGAAGGTTCTTTGCACATTAAAAAGAATTGGTTTCAAGCAGAATGATGCGGGATGTGAGTGCAACATCTCACCGGCATTTCGTATTTGAAAGAATCGCGCACAGTTTTTCTTGAAACATGCACTAAATCCTCTCTTCTATTCAAAATTTAATCAATTTGATTTATGTTGCAGGTGTTCACAACAGGCACCATGGGTGAGCTCAGTCCAGTAAGATTGCTTGTTCCTATTATGATTGAACTGTCATGTTAAGCCTTAGTTTGTTATTTTTTCTTCCATAATTTATGGTGTACGTCACTTTTTTCCCTGTGTCTAGTTTCAAATTAAAGCTATTTCATTTAATAATATATAATATATATATATATATATTGTGGTATAGTCTATAAAAGCAACAGTATATCATCTTGTGTACTACTATTATCATGGCTGTGGTGATGACGAGGATCTACTTGTCATCGTCTTAATTATAAAGAGTGATATGCTGAAAATATATAATAATAAATTTATTTTATTCGATGACGGCTTTTACAAATAAGTTTGAACAATATTGTTATCTTGCGTGCTCTTGTTTTTCAAATTTCATATAACATAGTTCTCTTTAAACAGGATCCAAAATGCATTATATCTGTTATTATACACATTATACATGTCTCTTAATTTTCTTTTATATCATTCCAACGAAGCTCTCTATTGGGTGAGATGCACATTTCCTGAGAGCTTATTATTTAAAATATCTTAATACACGATAATTTTTATTGTTGAGAATTGGCTGTTTTAGGTCATTAAAATCGATGGACGCATTGTGGGTGATGGTGAAGTGGGACATGTCACTCAAAAATTGCAAAATGCTTACAAGAAACTGAGGTCAGAGTCGGGGGTGCCTATTCCTACTTATAAGAAAGCTTGATCGCATGATCATCTAAAAGGTACGTAAGGCTACTTGTATTGTCTTCACCTTTTCTCTTTTATCTAACGTTTTCCATAGAATGAGTCCTCGATATTATTCTTAACCATTTGAAATGTGATTCAATGAATGAAACAAATAAATAATCAACTTGACTGCTTGAAAATAGTTATTAAGTTATGGGAAAATATTTAACCTAAGAGAAACAAATTGTTCAATATTTAGATTTGAGAACTTTTAATTCTCCCTTTTATTATTGGCTTCTCCTTTCTGTTTATAATACAATACAAATACATATACATACTCCATGATATAGAATGAAATAAATCGAATTTATTTATTATATATTTCTGGTTGAAATTCATACTATTATTTTGTTATTCTGCAATGTTTCAAACTTTCAAATATTTGCTCACTCTTGGTTTGTTTTACTTTTGTAGAAATTGGATTGAGGACAACTTTTCTATCATGTATCAGCTACCCTCAACTCAAGTCAGAACTCTTTTATTTCAGTCAGTCAGAATAAAACATTTCAGGGCCTTTTTTATCATATATTTGGCCTGGGATCGCTTAAATAAATAATGTGCTACTTTTCTTTTTCAAATAATTTACAGCTGTGTTGAATTAATCTAGCCTATCCCCAGTCACCGCTCGTTATATTCATTCTTCTTGTCACTTTTGCCAATCCAATATTGTTTTATTTTTCTTTTGATTGGTTTAAAAAAAGTTTGACATTAAAATAATATTTGATACTCTCTCCGTGTAAGAAATTTAAGGAATATTTATATTATATTGATAGTGGATAAAAGTATAGTTAAAAGATATTTTTGCCTTTGTAAGTGTGTTATTGTAAAATATAGTGATAATTGCGTAGTAATAATGAAAGAATAAAGATAATTTTATAGTGGTATGGTTATTTATGGAAATAAGACTATTATTTTAGGACGGACAAAAATAGTAAACAAGGTTATTGTATTGGGACGGAGGGAGTATAATATTTTGTGAAAAAAAAAAGTGTATCTTTTTCGGGAAAGGTAGAGTCCAAAAAGAGGTTTGTTGGTGTAAAAGAAACAAACCTTTTAAGTTTGGTGATGTTTAGGAAAATTGGAAAAATTCACCCAATCATTAATTTTCTATGTATATTATTAGGAAATAAATACAATATATACATATAATGATATATAATATATATTTTATTTTTATTTATAAAAAAATCAATAATTTAAAAAAAATATTAATTTTTGTATTACAAATAAAAAGTATCAATTTAGAAGTACAAAAGAAATATTTATAGTTTGTTCTTTTATGATTTTACATTAAAATTTAAAATATAATATAAATATATTAATATTTACTTTAAATCAATTCAAAATCACAATGAAACAAATCCTGAATAATATAATGATAATATAATATACATAAGTGAAGTTTAATGGTGCAAAGTTGGCTAGGGTTTGAGGACAAAAGAACAACGGTTTGTAATTTTTGAAATGGATTTGATATTTTTATGATTTTGTAAAGAATAGAATGGTAGAAAATACATTTTATAGTTCAAAGTAATATAAATTTATATTTCGGGAGTTTTAGGGAAAGATAAAAAAACAAAGAATAAAAAAAGGAGTTTAAAGGAAATTTTGAGCATTTTGGAATTTAGGTACAATTTACCCTATAATTATTTATTATAAATAAAAATTTTTAAAAAAAAGTTTAGGTGTATAAAGGAGTAATATAGGGTTTGCTTGTTTATTAGTACTTTAGTTTAATATATATATATATATATATGAGAAGTGAGATTTGTTTGTTTTGTAAAATTGTTTGAAAGGATTTTTTTTTTTAAATATAAAAAATTATATAAATAATATAAAAATAATGAATGTGCCTTGTATATCAATTTGTTTGAAGAAATGTAAGGATGTTTACCGCTGCGTCAAATTTTTTTGTATTAATCTAAAATTTGCACAAAATATCCTCTTTATTTAAAATTGATATTTAATTATAAATACATACCTAAATTATACTATCATTTAAATATATTTTTTAATAAAATAAATAAATAAACAATGATCAAATATTTATTTTATAATTTTTTAAAAAGTAAGATAACATTCATTTATTATATTAAATTTAATATTTTTATTTCTTTTATTTCTATAAAATTTATATAATTATATTTGTATTTATAATCAAACATCCTTTGGATAAAAACAATATTTGTTGCAGACTTTATATTAATATAATAAAATTTTACATAATAAATAAAATGTTATCCTATATATATGATAGCACAATGCACAATGGTGTGGATGTGGAGATTCCTGGAGTCTCAGATTTTTGGAATTTTTCTTGAATTTTTTAATTATATATTTGTTAGTATAATTTTTATAATTATTTTAAACATGTTAGAGAATATACAATTTTAGTGGGTTAGCGGATATTCGAATTTTTTCTTTAATTATATATATATATATATGTTTGTTGGTTTTTTTTTTTCAATCTATTTTTAAAATTGATTTTTTTTTTCATTTTTTTTTCACTCATTCTAATATCGTTGTTATTAATTTTTATATAAAAGTATAAAATTCTTAAATTCACTACTATTGTTATTGGAGAATATTACTTTGTGAATTCACAAAGTTATTCGTTTGAGTAGTTGTTGGAGAAAGACTGCAACATGGACATTGAAAGTTGTTCATGGAGCACTGTTGTGGAGATAAATTCAATTATAAATACATTGAGTATATTTTATAAATTATTTGTACGAATATTGTGGAGAATTTTTAAATAGTTTTTAGATAATTTTAACATTTGTTAGGAAGATAATACATATATCAATTAAAATATTTGGAATTATTTTATTTATATATATTTATATATTTATTTTAATTTTGTTTAAAAGTACAAATTAAATTTTATTAATGAAATATATAATTTTTATAAAGAAATATATTAATTTTTTATTTGTATTTATAATTTTATATAAAATTTTCTGGTCATATATATCATGTATAACATATTTACTTATATATTTGGATAATTTTAAATAGTTTTAGTCAATTTAAAAAATTTTAAATGGTTATTTTTAAATGCTAATACATATTTAATTATATATTTGGATAATTTTAAATAGTTTTAGTCAATTTTAAAAATTTTAAATGGTTATTTTTAAATGCTAATTTGATAGGACGGTTTTATTTTCCATAATTTTTCTAAACAAAAATATTTTTACATATAATTTAAAATTTTCATTTATTTTAAATTCATAAATAGCTAGTTATGATTGACATTTTTAATTATAAATTTTTGTAGTTATAAATATTGATAGTTTGAAATTATGATTTTATATATCTATTGTATATTAGTTTATTAATTTATTACTATATTTAAAGTGATTTTATGCAAAATATTTATTTATTTATTAAAAACAATATATGATAGATTATGTAAATTATACTATCCGATAAAATAATCTAAATTTTGTATAAGATTGAATATAAATTGAAATTTTACATTTTTTTTATATAAGTTGTTTTTTCAGTTAGATAAAAATCATAGTGGTCTAAAATAAAAACTTGAAAAATAAACATTTTATTTTTATTTTACAAAATAGTTTTCAATTTTACTTTATATTGAGTATAGGTAATTTAATATGTATGTTAACATATTTTTTTTTAATTAATATGATCAATTATTATTTTTTTGCAAATTTTTATTCACAGCTACTAATAATAAATTTATAATTAAAAAATCATTTGGTTTTTATTTTTAACATTTATAGTAATTAATGATTTCTATTTTCTTCTAATAAGTAAAGATATAAATAGATACACATAAAAAAAAAATAAAAAAAATAAATAAATATAACTATTAAAATAGTAAAATATAAATATGTAATTATTGTACATTTTTTTTAATTAAATAGATTTATATATAGATATTTTGATTTATTTTAAATAATTATCTAATCAAATAAATAATAATATAGCAATTAAATTTAAATATAATAATTTATAGATAGCACGAATTTAAACGCTAGTAAAATATATAACAATTTATATGAGATAAATATATAAGAATATATAAATAAATATGTATAGTGTGTATGTATGTATGTATGTATAAGTTGTAAAATATATAGGGTATATTTATTTAATCAAATTTTTTCAAATTTTACTATTTGAACTCTATTTTTTTGAAAAAATTATATTTTTTCATCTCATAAAATATTATATCAAATATTATTTTAATACTAAAAACAAATTAATTTTTTCAAACTCAAAAAAAAAAAAAAAACACAGACATAGAGAGAGAGTGACGAAGAGAGAGGATAGATAAATTTTTTCATTGCACCCTTTGTTACATAACTATTTATAGCCAATTTATAACACTACTAGTCATTACATTTGATGACTTGATAATCCAATTAAATGACACGCATGAATGAGTCATAACATAAAACATATTAGTGTTCATTGGAACAAAGTTACCCAAATCTTTTCAAGCCCCAAACCAAATTCCTTACAACCGACAATTTCTGCAGCTATATAGTAGGTCTTGTCATGTTTGACTTTTTTTTTTTTTTTCTTTTTAATTTTAATAAACACAATGAATATTTTTATAATTTAATAAAACATATATCGTATATGTTATTGTAAAAAATAAAATTTTATACTCCCTATACATATTTCTATTTTGGGACGTTAAATTACAAAGTAAACATTTCATTAAATATCTTATTTTTTTCCACAAATACCCCTACTTTACATCACATCATTACTTTTACACCAAAAAACAAGGGCAAAAATGTCATTACACTACTTTTAACTACCCACTATAATTAAGATACTATTATTTCTTAAACACCGCGCCAAAAGTAATTGTATACTTTTCTTGTGGACGGAGGGAGTATAATATAATTAATAGAATGTAAATATCTATTTATATTTAATACAAATTAATACTCAAATTATACTATTTTTAATTTCATAACTTAATTTAATATATATTTTATATCGTTATTATTTTATCTATCTAATGATACACGTTAAAACTCTCAAACTTAAACAAAACATATTTTATCTATCTAATCAATACACATCCAAACATAATTTTTTAAATTACACAAAAAAAATTAAAATCCAAACCAAAGTCAAACTAAAATTTTCAAACTAATGGCAAAGAAACCTATCCACTGTGTTTTTATTATTTTTTACGGGTGTATTTGATTGGGGGTTTGAATTTCGATTTAGGATTTAAATAGTAAAAATTTTGAATTTGAATAATTGTATGATGTGATATAAATATGTGTTGATGTGATGTTTTGAATGTAAAATTGATTTTTTAGTCTAATATAAAAAATAAAAAATAGGTTTGATGTTTTTGAAAAAAAAAATTGGATGAATAGTGCATTTGGGGGAAAATCTCCAATCAAACACACAATTAATAATATATTAGTAATAGATATATAAATATATATAACTAATGAAAGAAAAAAGTACAACATTCTTATATTGATTCATTCCCTTAATCTAAACATTATTTTAGATCCCTTAATCGACGCATTCTAATTTTTTTTTACCAAAATTTCAAATGTTGCAGTCGGTAATGTCTTGGTTAATATATCCGCCAAAT